TTATGCCCCCCACCCAGCACACTCCATCCCCTTTCCCTCTGCCCTAGCAAACCCCGGAAGTAAGATATACCTTGCAAGTCTCGGACCCACGCCGAGTTGCCCAGCGAGCTTCTGTGGCCGAGGTTGGACTTGAACCCGGCTCCTGGTGGATAGCCACTTGCCAAATTTTGGAAGGGGCAGGAAAACCAGAGAAAGCCTCTTCCAGGCTGTCCAGTCTCTTAAACTGCCCCAGCAGCAGAGGCGCGCTGGTTCACCCGAAAGAAAGGAAATGCTTTGCGGGAGTGGACGATGGGCTGGTGGGTTGGAGCTGGGCCTGCCAAGACATGGATCCGAATTGATGGGGGCCCTGGGGGGGGTCTGAAGGGCAAAGGACCAGTGGGGTCTTCTCAGCTGGGGAAGGGGGGGTCTTAGGGCTGGGGGGGGGGGGCAACCCCTGCCTTCCTGCCCCCTCCCCGTCCCATGTTGTCTCTGCATTTTGGGGGAATCCCTTTCTGCCCCATTGCTGCCATGGCGTTTGCATTTATCTGTCTCTGCCTGCAGGGGGCTCCCTGCACCCCAATTCCTTCCCTCTCCCCCCCTCATTTTCATTCCAGCCACGCAGCCTCCCACTCCCGTTCTCAAATTAATTTGGTGCCGTTGAGCACTGCAGTGTGTCTCCCTTGCTGCAGGCCCTCCTCTCCTCTTCCTCCCTCCTGCATTTTCTCGCCGCCTCCCTTTCTCCCCCACCCCCCCAGCCCCATTTTTTAGGCATTTGTGACTCTGCTCCTGCTTTTTCCTGCATCTTTCCCGTGTCAGCCTCTTCTCTGTGTGACGTTCCCCTGGGGATTTGCAGGGCGGGAGGGCGGGGTGCAGAGGAATTGGGGAGGGAACGCTAAGGGGCCCGATCTCTTTGCAAGAACAGGGTGAAAATCCAAGGAGGATTTTCTTTTCAGCTCTTCCTAGATGCTAAACCTTGCAAGGGTCCATAACTAACAAGCCAAACTCCACCATTTTCTTGAGGGCTGGCTTTTCTGCATGGGCTTGCTTCGGAGTTGACTCGTGCGGAGGGGGCTGCACTGCGAGGCCTACACCCCAGCCCTCAAATTCGGAAGATCACCCCCTCTATTTTTTTATCCTGCAGAGGGGGAACCCTGCGTCAGGCTGGGAAAGACCGAATGGGTGAGGTTGACCAACCCAAGTTTGTGGCTAAGAGGTGATTTGAACCCTGGTCTGCAGCAGCAGAGTCTGACAGTGATTCTCCCTTTGTTGGACTCCAGTTCCCAGTATCCCCTGCCATTTGGCCAGGTGAGTTGGGACGCATGGTGTTGAGAGTCCAATGACCCTTGGTGGAACTGACTCCTCAATTAAAAGTCCTGGTTAGTTTCCCCTTAATCTTGAACAGTCCAAAAAAAAAACCCTACCAGAGAGTTTCATCCATTGCTATCTGGTTTGTTTCAACCATGTTTGTTGAATAAGCCACCGTGACGTAGTCCACCCTGCGTGAAGCAATGAGGAGGCGGCTCAGCATGAATTGTAAATCCTGCCTTTTAATACAGATCCAGGACTGGCTTGTTCACACGCCATGTTTGGCACGATCTGTAAGTACCCAGACTGTTACGGACCATTCTGCAAATCATGATTACAACTCTGGGCCAGGTGCCCCCTTTGTGCAAACAGCGTCACCTGGCTTTGCTTTGCCCAAAGGAAGCTTTGGGGAATCTGCTGTTGGGCGTTAAAGATCTGCCCGGCCATCAGCTGCCAGATCCCAGTCTCTGCTCCCTCTCTAAGGACCCAGAGCTCTAATTCGGTCCTGTCTAAACCACCTTAGATCCAAATTATCTGCTGAGCAAGAAAATGAACAAGCGATGGGCGTTTTCAGCAAAGGAGGTTTTCTGAATGCCTCGGGCAGCCTCACCCCATGTGGCGCTCTAGTTGCGGAGACTACAGTTCCAATCACGCTAAACGGGCGAGGCCAAGGGGAGTTGTAGTCTAGCACCTCCAGTCAGGGTGGGAAAGCACACCGGTGTCGAACGGTCACATCTGAATTCTGGGATTGTGATGGTACGTGGGAATGGCCTTGGGAGACAGGAGGAAGAAAGCCGCAGACTGGGCAATGGGCACCAAGAGGATATCTCAGCCCACAGATGGAGGGAGGAGGGTGTGGGAGGCGTTTCAGAAGGGACCCCCCTAATTTTCCGAAGAGTAAAAGGAGAGGAGGGGAGAAATAAAGATAGAATTAGGACTGGTTATGCTTCTGGTCTGGACTACCTCGCAGGCCTAACAGAGATGGCGTCTTGTGACTGATATTGTCAGCCCTTTGAAGTAGGCCAGGTCAGGAAGCAGACATCACAAGGACTATGAGAACTTTACTGATATAGGCTATATCAACTGTTACTCTATAGGCCAATGTTTCTCAACCTTGAAGATGTGTGGACTTCAACTCCCAGAATTCCCCAGCCAGCCATGCTGGCTGGGGAA